TATTAATTCTCGACACTTTTAATATTTTAATGACATTTAATTTCACTAAATTTCTAACATATTCTAACTTTTTCCCTCCCGGAAAGTCCAAGTTTCCAAGTCTCGGAAATCTAAAGTTTTAAATTTTTATAAATATGAACAAGACATAAAAATTAGTTTGCCAAAGAAGTTTCACTTCTGACTTGTGTACTTTGTACGCACGCACTTTTTATTGGCCGAAGGCTCACCTGATGTTAAGACGCAACTTACAGTCTCTGTTAAGGAGAAGACATGTTTGTGTTCTTTTCGTTCCACTTACCACTTACCACTGTTTACCACTGTTTTAGAATACAGTGTATAAGTATCTACCATATTTAACCATAATAAGGCATTTTTTCCAATATTTTTTATTGAAAACTTATTAACAAAAATTATTGTTGTACCTCAAGTAGATTACGAGTTTTAAATTTGTATATAAAAACGATTTCTTATTAAGTCTTACTTGTACAAACTATAATGATTGCTTGATTATGACATATGTTATATAATTTGTTACATATACGTACATATCATTGGCTATACGTCTCTGTCAACATTTCGAAATATTAACTTACAGAAAGGCAAAACAAGTTTTTGGAGGAAGACGTTCTCTAAGAGAATATTGATTGAGTTTCGCTAACTTCAAATCAGATCACTTAAATAAATTTTATTAAACCATTTGAGTTGCCGCTAAAAAAACGGAGGCAATTAGTCAATCGCTGTGATAACTGTTATAAAAAGTATGAATGGCGCCAAAAAAAAAATGAATGAATATGCCAAAGAAAAAACTGCCAACCAAAAACAATAGTGGAAACACCTTGATGGTCTTTTTTGATTTTTTATGTTTTAATTGGTACGTTCTAGACTATTATGAGTTTATATTATTTAGCTATTATATTGTAGGCCTATTTAAGGTCGATATGGGATTTATTAGAATAAACATTTTAAAATATTATTAGTTAAATTTTTAAAATATAATTAAATTTTATTTACGGATATATTTAAGGCTCTTCTACGAATTCATTCACAAAACTCGACAATTCTACAACGGCTCACTTAATTTGTTGACACATTGTTCACAAACATTAAACATTAACAAATAGGTTGTCTAACACACAAAGGCTAAAGTAAAAGCGTGAAGTGGAAAAATTGACAATTACATCACGACTCTTTCCCCACACAATGTATTTTTCCTCTGCATTTGCGGGTTATGTAAGCCAATGCCCATTATATACCGTCATTACCATGTGAGGAAGCCCGTTTGTACCTTTTCGAGACCACGTAATAGTGTAAGAGTCTATGAGATGGTGTAAGGTAGTCGCTTTTAGCGTTATTATTTTTGCTAACGAGATCTTTAATTAAAAATTTGTCTTGAAGCAAAACTGAATGTCAACGAGGTGCTACTATTTTCTTTACGCAAATAGATTATACAATCAGCAGACTAAGTGTAGTGTGGACTCTATTTTCGCATTTAGATGCTAATTCGGTCAGTTGTGCGTGAAGCAGATAATCAAATGGCTCTTCATTTATCATAGATTCAAGCTAAGCTTTTGTAAGTTTTTGAAGTGGAAACTTCTTTAGCGGCGTTGTACACTTTTTGGAATGGGTAAAAAAATTTGAACTCGCGTCAGGACACGTGACCTGATCGAAAATTCGTAAGACGGAGGGAGAGTAGACAGCTGGCGCGGCGTATTTAATGTAATATAAATTGTCATGTTTGTGTACGATAGCGCAATAAATAAATATTGTATTCTACCACATAAATGATAGTACTTTTATACTGATAATTAAAGCAATTCGTGCAAAATTATTCCCTAACCATTCCAAAATATCAAAAATGCACAACGTTAATATTCAAGTTTTCACTTCTGCCGGCACTCCCGGAGTGCAACCCGTCGTTTTTTTTTATACATGTGACTTCACTAAGCCATCATGAAACATTACGATCTACCCTAACGTAAGCCTATAAGTTATTTAAGTCTAACCTAATTTATTAAAAAGGATTGTGAAAGCTTTTGTAAGTGATGTATTTTGCCTGACACGTGTCGACGGTTTGTTGGTAACACCGTTTACACGATGTTTAGTTTATTTAAAGTCCAATGAATTTGAACGCACCCGGTGAGAGTTTAGTTCAACACTGTTTTAACTTCGTTAACTAATTAAAGCAGAGCCGATGAGAACTTGGAGAAACTGGCCGTTCACCAACAAGATGTACCGATCAAGTGACTTACCGTCCACAAAACTATAGTCTGTTAAAAGAAAGCGCTGCACAGAAAACGGTGGAAACCGATTGTTCTCTCCAGATGTTTGATTTCGGGCCTCGCTCAGACATGAGCTACCGACTGAAGAAAGAGAGAGAACTAATTAAAGAGTATGTAACGGGGACACCCGAAAAGGGCAGACATCGCAGCCCATGGACATTTCGCTAGTGACGGATATATCTTCAAGTTTATATCCGCTACAGCAAAACAGAAGAAGGCCTTTAAAAAGTATAAAATCGCCTTCACTTATCACTTATAAACATAGATTGCACAGAGTTACTAATGCCGTTGAACGGGATGTAATCACAACATCCACATTTTCGCTTAAGTGTGTTAATCCTAAGTCGTTTGTACAGACAATCATTCGCCTTTGGCTTTGCTTCCAAAATAGGCAAAGTAACTAAATTGCCTAAGCCCTTATTTAACGAAAATTTTAACTTTTTTATATTATTTGCATACAACTACCAATATTCAAGCCTGACTTGTTTAAGCCATCGCGGAATATGCTTATCACCTGCAACGTGAGCATACGCTCGCTTTCACACCATCACACAACACAGCCGAATTAGGTATTGCTTAGTTATTATATTTATGTCTTTAGTATAATAATTGTTATTTGTGTTAGCTGTACAATTACGAAATAAGTATATTAGCCTCTGGGGGGGTTAACCTTGGTGCCTGGAGAACTGCAGTATATCTTAAAATACTAATCACATTAATTGTAAAAATCATAATCTGTAATTGATAGAATTCATTTATGAATTAATTTCATTTATTAATTAAAACAACAAAAAAAATTACGTGTAACACGCGGGTGTGTGTTATATTGTGTAAACTTTTATGATGATTATTACCAGCTCTCTGTAAATCTCTTATCAATGCTTGCAAGGGGATGGTGATTAAAATTTTAAAGGCAAGGTACCTGTTAGCGTGAGAGAGTATTTAGACCATAAATTTTGACAACAATTATAAATAAAAAAATTAAATTAAAAATAGCCTTTATTCGAGTACACTATAACTACAGTAAGTCCTTATCTTTTAAGTTTTACTGTAGTACTCGACCTCCGATGGAGTGAAGGCCTCCTCCAGATTCTTCCACTTATCCCTATCTGTTGCGACAATTTTCCAGTTTTTTCCCGCTGTCCCTTTTACTTCATCTTCCCAAGTTTTCGGTGGGCATCCTCTCTTTCTTCTTCCCACTGGGCCCTTCCAAGTAAGGATCTTTTTGACCCATCTGCCATCACAAATGCGGCAAATTATAAATAACTGTTCTTATTATTTTAACGACATTATGATAACTTGTTTGACATTTAAACACCTATTTTTATATGGTTGACTGTGCGGTTTTTTTATAGTTAATCAATCTGAATGTATCACATTTACCACGATTTATTAATTGTAAAATAGATGTTCTTACATTAGATACGCGTATTTTAAGTTATTAAGCTTCTTAAGTCTAATGTTCTTAAGTATATATGGAAAATAATATTATATTATGCCAGATCTACAGGTTGTAGGGCCATTTTTTATTCTCTGTTCTTATACAATGGATACAGATCAGATTTTAATTAAATTATTGCATTTTCTGTTCAAAGAAAACTTTTAAATGAAAATCGCTGAATGATAAAATACATTCTAATCTGCCTCGAGCTCTACGGATGCAACGAGCGCAACTCAAGCGTAGAAAACTTTTAATCCTATTTATTTGATAGCTTTATGTAAAAAAACCTTTTTACTCGTATACGTTATTACGAGTAGATACGATAAACTGAGACACACAAAAACCAGTAGTGGTGATCATTGTTCTTCTGTGACTACAACACATGCTCGGCTACTATTTTCATTTTATGAAATACATTTCAAGGGGAGCAGAGGAACCAAGGTCACACAAAAAAATACTTTTACAAGCGTTAAAACTATATTAAAGTTTCAAAGATCTACTGACAAGTTTTAAACTATATTTTAAATATTTTTTTATGTAATAGGAGGCAAACGGGCAGGAGGCTCACCTGATGTTAAGTGATACGCCCATGGACACTCACATTGCCAGAAGGCTTGCAAGTGCGTTGCCGGCCTTTCAAGAATTGGTACGCTCTTTTCTCGAAGGACCCTAAGTCAAATTGGTTCTTGTATTACCCTGTGAAAAATATTTTATTATATTTTTTATTTATTGTTACTTAATTAAATTTATAGTAATAGAAAATTAAAACAAATTAAAGCAATTTGGTCCCTGAGACTGTAACTTTAACGCTGGCAGCATTTTCTCGCTCTCTTCTTTTTCAGTCGCACTCATTTCTGAAGGTTGTGTTAGTGGCGCCGCACAAGTTCCTCCACTCTCCTCTGTCTACGGCAAGTCTTTGCGTAGTAAACTATTGAATTACTCCCAAAGTTCTTATCTCTACCACGTACAGGATAATGGCATTGCCATTATTATACCGTTGTTAAAGCCTGACGTATCCGATTGTCATAAAATCTGATACGACATGAAATCCAATCATTTTAAGTCAACTTCGCTTTACACCAATCGAGGGAATGTACCATTTGATTTTGATTGCAAATACAGGGGTATAGGCTCCGAATAAGATTTTGTCCCATTCGGTGTCGAGACCCTTGCTCCGTGGGGTCCTAGCGCCATAAGGCTTTTTAAGGAAATAGCTAAAAGGTTATTCGACATCACAGGAGACCGAAGAGCTGGCAGCTACCTCGGACAAAGATTTAGTCTAGCTATTCAAAGGGGGAACGCTGCCAGTATCTTCGGAACCTTGCCTATAAGGAACTCCTTTTAATTTATATATTTTAGTTTTTATATTTTAAGGTTGGTTATTGTTTTTTGTATTCATTAACTACGTTAAATTATCATTTGATTTTACCACCAACTACCATTTGATTGATGCAAGTATCAGAAAAACGCGATTAAACGTTTCTCGCAACTTCTTTTACAGATAAAAGACGCTAATTTATTGATTAACTTATGTCAAATGCTTTTCAATATCTCGGTCGATGACGCCGAGTGATGTTTATTCTGTAATAAATCCTCACAATGTTTTAAATTGAAATATGGGACGCTATTCA